CAGGAAGGTGGTGGAGAAGTGTATTATTGACTGGGGAATTGAAAATAAAGTGTCCATTATAACGGTGGATAATGCAACCGCTAATGATGTGGCAATGACTTACTTGAGGGAGAGATTGGCGGATAGGAATGCTTTGATTCTAAATGGTGAACATTTTCATATGAGATGCACAGCTCACATTTTGAATTTGATTGTGAAGGGTGGTATTAGCGAGATTAAGGAATCTGTTAACTGGGTTAAGTATGTGAGGAGTTCTACCAGTAGAAGCCAAATCTTTGAGAGATGTGTCAAAGAAGAAAGGATAGGTTATAAAGGTACGGTGTGTCTTGATATTGCTACTAGATGGAACTCGACTTTCCTCATGTTGGAATCAATAATCAAATTCAAAAAAGCTTTTAAAAGGTTGGAAGAAGAGGACTCCAACTACTTGGTTGAAATGACATATGGTGTTTCTTTTGATGAAGATTGGGAAAATAAAACCGTATTCGCCAAGTTCCTAAGGAAATTTTATGAAGCTACAACCAGGATGTCAGGGTCCAACTATGTGACTTCTAACAATTATTTTCATGAAATTGCAGGCATTGTCACTACTTTAAATGATTGGGAGAAAGACTCTAATGTTTGTCTTAATGCAATGTCAATTAAAATGAGGGAGAAATTTAACAAGTATTTTGGGAGTCTTGAAAAAATGAACGTGATGGTGTTGATTGCAGCGGTGTTAGATCCCATAAATAAAATGAATTATGTGAGTTGGTGCTACAAAAAAAAGATATACATCGATGACTACGAAAAGGCTGAAAGGATGTCCTAAATGGTGAGACATGTGTTACAAGAATTGTTTGAATTTTATAAAAGACTTCCATCAAATTTAGATGAAAGTCAAGCTTCTAGTTCTTGTCCAACAAGCGGAAATGATCAACCTTTAACTGTTGTTAATAGTCAGCGTGGTAGTATTGTCCCTGACCCTCTAAGGTTGGAATATGTGGAGGAGATGGAGGTAGAGGTACAAGATGCTGCCAAGTCAGAGTTAGACCGGTGCCTTGATGATAAATGTGAATCCATAATGTCTGACTTGAATGTATTGGAATGGTGGAAGGCAAATGCATCAAAGTATACAGTTCTCTCGCATATGGCCAAAGATGTCTTTGCAATCCCAGTGTTTACAATTGCTTCAGAGTCAACTTTTAGTACATCGGGTCGTGTACTTGATAAATTTCGAAGTTCTTTATCTCCGTCGGTTGTTGAATCATTGATTTGTACAAGTGATTGGTTGAAATGTGCACCAACTCTGGATAAAGATGACTTGGAGGATGCAGAGGCTTATGAAGCGGGTATAGTATCTAACTAACGATTATATTCTTATCTCTTAAATTTATTTTAAGTTATTAGTAAATAAATTTATTCAATGTTTTTACTTTTTGAAGCTACTAATTGACTTTCTTGTGTTTATTTTGTAGAAATGATTAGACTTCAATCACTTGACGAAGGAACATCCATGCCTAATTTGGAGCATTAGACATGAGTCATGTACTCATGTTATGCTTTTTGGGTTGTTTTGTAGTTTTATAATTATAGTGATTGAAATTAGTGGGAGAATAAAAAAAGTTGGTGACGGTTTCTAACTTTCTATATTGTTGTTTGTTTGAATGATTTTGGTGAAGTTATTTGGTGTGAATTGTGATGAATAATTGTTTGTTTTTTGGTTTTGATTGACGAATTTTATGTGAATTATGATGAATTGATTGAATTCAAGTGTTGCTTAGAGATTCCAGGTTATGAGTTACATTGGACACAAATGAATGAGTAATCAAAATTTGTTAGGGGTGTATTTATAAACTTTTAAGGTATTTTTGTCATTTTTTAAACTAATAGGGGATAATTTATTTTTTACAGGGTACCCGGGAAAAGAACCGGAACCTGTATTTTAGGTTCTGGTTTCTTGAATTGAAGAACCTGCACTATGCGATTTCGGTTCTAATCCCGTTTTTTAGGAACTTGTACTATGTAGTTTCGGTTTCAATTCTCTCAAAAATTACAAGGGCTTCGTTTGGTTTTTTAGTATTCCCAAAAAAGTTAAACAGTAAAATACCCAAAAACTTACAATATTAGTCAACTTTATTCAACATTTTTTAAACCCCCTAAATTTGTTAATTCAATTAAATACCCCTAAATATTTTTAATGTTTTTGTTACGGCGACTCCGGCCACCCTCCGGTGGTGGTGGCCGGCTGTCCGTATTTGAGGGTGGATTGGGGGTGTTTTTGTTAACTTTTAATGTTTTATTATAAGGGGTGTTTTGTAAAAAAACAAACATAGGAGGTATTTTATTAATTTTTAAATCCTACATCGTAATACCCATCCAATTCAACTTTTTTTTAACTTTTTTCAAAAAACTTTTCTCAAAAACACAAAATTGAGAACCAAACGGAACCAAGTAACTTGAACCGCTCACCCTTACCAATAAATTTAGAAGATCGTATTTGAGGAAGTTAAAGTGTAACCTTCAACAAATGAGAGAGCACTCGTTAGTTGTAAAGTCCAATAAACAGGAGTATGACACTAAATTTTAGGAAATTTGTAGTTAAGAACCTGAAGTGTACGTGGGACTGGTAAAGTCCAATAAATGAGGAGTACGCATGAACACGCTCATCGTATTCGAGGAAGTTAAGGTGTAATGTTCAATAAATGAGAGAGCACTGCTTAGCTGCAAAGTCCAATAATGAGTATGAACATTAAATTTTAGGAAATTTGTAGTTGAAGAACCTAACGTGTACGTGGGACTGGTAGAGTCCAATAAATGTTGCATTAATAATGCACAAGTACTGACTGTTATTACTATTACCTTTTTTATTAACATTATTTTTTTGGTTCAAGAAGATCAATAATAATTTTTTATATATCTATAAAAATTTGCCAACCCTCCTGAAAATTAATTTTTGGTTTCTCCCTTGACTTATCGCAAGTGAACTCCGATATAGTTTTTGTATGCAACTCACTCCCAAATCATCATTTTTACCAAGAATTACTTAATTTTGTTTTTCATTTACAGAAAAAAAAAATATATGTATACATACTTGATAGATATTAAAATCATAGAATTTGCCAATTTGGTAATAACTCTCCATTCTCCAATACCAATTTTATGTCTTCAATATTACTCAACAACCATATAGTGTCATAAAATATATATTAAATGATCTTTTATATCTTCCTACAAAAATGTTGCATTAATAATGCACAACTAGTTATAATACAAAATGGATCACCGCCACAGAAACCTTGGCAATATAGTGTCAAGAGTACGAACAATAAATTCAGGAAGTTAGTAGCTGAAGAACTTGGGGTGTACGGAGGTCCGACGATGGCGGTTGGTGTACAGGAGTCTAATATAATATTAATGGGTGGCTATTAAATTCATATTTCAATCTCTTATAATTTTATCCCTATTTACAATTCTATTCTTTATTAATTAAATAATTTTCCTAAAAACTTAAAATTTTACATAAGAACAAATAGAAAAACGAACCATAATATGTCAACATAATTTTTCTCCTGTCAGCCACCCTTAAGCATGGGGTGGCCAGATTGTAAAATTTCGAATTTTTATATATCAAAATTGTAGTTTCATTATTTAAATGTCTTTTTGATAGAATTTAAGGTGAGTTTGAATTCTCGCCCAACAAGGTCTTGTTGAATAGAAAGATTACCCCCTCTTATAAACTAGTAGGCTTAAGCATGCCTAGTCGATGTGAGACTCCAACACTCTCCCTCATAGTCAAGTCCATATGTTATATGTTGGGTCATACCTATTGATGGAGGTAATTGTTAGCTCTAACTCCTCACCCGCTGGTTAAACACTCAACTCAACTGGATCTAACTCAGATAATATGATAGAATTTGAAGTAGGCCTGACTCCTTACCCAATAAGGTCATGTTGAATTGGAGAACTACCCCCTCTTATAAACCAGTAGGCTTAAGTGTGCCTACTCGGTGTGGGATACCTCTTATTGAGTGAGGAGTCAGACCCAACTTAAGTTATATCATGGTATCAAAGTCAGGTTCAGTTGAGCCAAGTGCTTGACCAGCAGGTGAAGAGTTAGAGTCAGCAACTATCTTCATCAACAGGCATGACCCAATATAACATATGGGCTTTATCGTGAGGGGGAGTGTTAGAGTCTCACACCGACTAGGCATGCTCAAGCCTATTAGTTTATAAGAGGAGGTAATCCTCCCATTCAACAAGACCTTATTGAATGAGGAATTAGCCTACCTCAAATTCTATCATGGTATTAAAGCCAGGTTCAGTTGAGCTGAGTGCTTGAACAGTGGGTGAGGAGTTAGAGCTAGCAACTACCTCCATCAACAAGCATGACTCGACATATGGGTTTGACCGTAAAGGAGAGTGTTGGAGTCTCACACCAACTAGGCACGCTCAAACCTACTGGTTTATAACAAGGGGTAATCCTTCCATTCAATAAAACCTTATTGGGTGAGGAGTCATCCCCATCTCAAATTCTATCACTTTTTTCTCTTTTACTCTGCTTACCTTTGTTTTATAAGCTTTCATTTTGTCTCTCTTAAATGCAATTTCCTAAATAAATTTATTTGAATTTAGTAATGGTACATCATCCTCAGTTACATATTTTTAATTTCTATTTTTTTTCAACGGTATTATATCTAAAAGGTATTTAAAAAAAAAAAAAAAAATCTAGAATACCATAAGACTATACATAACATAAGTTGATATAATTATGTCACTTCTAATTTTTTTTTTAATCTATCTTTACAATTAATATGATGGATAATTATTAAACTAAAATAATATGTGACATGTAAGTATCGGTAATTTATTTATGCTATCGCAGGTGTGGTAACTACTATGTCACCTACTCTCTCCTTAAAATAAATTACCTTAGACATCAATGTCAGGATATTGATAGCTTCATCAAATCACTATATAATGAGACCACTCTCACACTCTCGTATGCATGCTGATGGCGAAGAAAACTAAATTATGGCATCTAAACCAGGAATTCTCACTGATTGGCCATGGAAGCCTCTCGGCAACTTTAAGGTTTTCTTTAAAGTAAACCTTATTTTATTATTATTTTTTGGCTTTTTGTTTGACTAACTCTTTTCATTGTTATTTGTTACAGTACATAGTTTTGGCTCCCTGGGTTATTCACAGCATATACTCATACATAGTGGAGGATGAGAAGAGGAAAGACCTCTCAACCTTGCTCTTATTCCCACTTATTCTATGGCGATTTCTTCACATTCAGATATGGATTAGTCTCTCTCGTTTCATGACAGCCAAAGGCAGCAATAGAATCGTTGAGAAGTCCATTGAATTTGAACAAGTTGACAGAGAAACAAATTGGTAAGTAAATAATCAAATATATATCCTTTAATAAAGACACTTTGTAGGCGTAAAAGAAAAAAAAATTTAAGTTTCTTGAGAGGGGTCTCTCGAACTAATATAATGTTTAACCTTCCACTACTAGCTTAAGCTTTTAGAACTTTTCCGACTTCAGATCTTCCTCCTTACCGGTTTATTCAAGTTTTTTTTTTTTTTAGCTTGAATTGAAGTATTCTTCGTTCATGCATGCATTAAGCGTTTTTTAGGTTTCCTAACTATTTAGCTAGCTTTTATGTTGTTTTGTCTTTTCCTTTTGTGGTGTAAGGCTCAAATGTGCCCCTTTCTTTCTCTTCTTTTTATTCTGTTCAATAAATTTTCCAGATCTATCACTGTTCAAATTTAAAAAAAAAAAATCAAACTATAAATCATAATCTACATAAGACGTTCGTACCTGACAATTTGTGTTACTTTCTATAAGTATACTCTATAGTAATTATGTGTGTGAAATTAATCTATATTAATTACAAGTTCTATTATCACTACAAACCATCTGGTTAATTTTTTTTGAGTTTTTTTCTATTGGATGTTGGCAGGGATGACCAAATATTGTTCAATGGATCCCTAATATATGTTTTCAGCAAGACACTTCCCGGGGGAACTCACGTGCCAATCTGGAGATTAGATGGTGTAATTCTCACAATTCTGCTGCATGCTGGTCCAGTGGAGTTTCTTTACTACTGGTTTCACAGAGCCCTTCATCACCATTATCTTTACTCTCGCTACCATTCTCATCACCATTCCTCCATTGTCACTGAGCCCATCACCTGTAATTCTCTCTTGATTTTCAGTTTTGATTTTATATTTGCTTGTTTTTTCTCACTTATGTCTACTGTCTCTCTATCCTGCGGACATCCTGATTTGTAAGAGATTTTTGTCTTTGCGTTTGTGTGGCAGCTGTGATTCATCCATTTGCAGAGCACGTAGTATATTCCATTCTATTCTCAATACCGATTTTTACAACAATCTTCACTTGTACTGGTTCCGTGGGATCTGTCTTTGGTTACATTACTTACATCGACTTCATGAATAACATGGGACACTGTAATTTCGAGCTCATTCCCAAGTGGCTTTTCTCCATTTTTCCACCTCTCAAGTTCCTCATGTACACTCCTTCGTAAGTCTCTCTTAGCTCTCTCTAATTAACTCACTATAAAGAAATATGATTTGTCCCGACAGAAAAATTTTGCCGCGAAACTATCGTATAATGAGTGTGTTATACATATGAGAATTTTCAATAATCATATCTATACGAGTGTGTTGGAATAATATTAATATTAAACTCTTATCTGATAACTTAAACTTTTAGATCAAATTATTAACTTAATATGTTACCGAATCTTCATATGGTTCCTAATCCCCACATGTAACCGATACATCTTGTTTATTGTACATATTATATGAATCTAGAGTGATGCTACTATATAGATACATTAAATATGCAAACTCATCAATCGCGTATACAATCTTAATTTGGTTACATTTTATTCATCTACATTTATTATGAGTCAACTTTTTATATACACCAAACAACTCATTTCGTGTCATGTCAATTTATATACAGGGGCCGTACATATAGTATTATTCATGATTTATCTTTTATTGGGTTGTTCTTTAATGCTCTAATAACATTATATAATGAAATTAATTTTGAATTAATGCCACAGGTTTCACTCCCTTCACCATACACAGTTCAGAACCAACTACTCATTATTCACGCCTCTATATGATTTTATATATGGTTCCATGGACAAATCTTCAGAAACATTGTATGAAGATTCATTGAAGAAGAAAGAAGAATTCCCTGATCTAGTGTATCTAACCCACTTGACAACTCCCGAATCAATCTATCATCTACGGCTAGGATTTGCTTCCATGGCAGCTCAGCCTCAATCATCATCATCAAAATGGTATATGTGGTTGATGTTGCCTGTGACCTTATGCTCCATGATGCTCACTTGGATTTGTGGTACTTCTTTTGTGGTTGAGAGGAACCGTTTTAGTGACTTCAAATTGCAAACTTGGGTCATACCTAAGTACAATTTTCAAGTAAGAGAAGCCTCAATTTCTTTGTTTCTTAACTTGAACGAATTTCTTTTACCTCCCATAAGGTTTGTAAATAATTTAATCAAACACACACCCTCTAGTTTTGAGGTGGTCGATCGTCTCTGATCTCCTTCATTGCTAAGAAATCCTTATTAGACCTTACCCGTGTCTTTAACAAAAATTATTCAAGTTATTTAAGCGATATTTCCTGAAATATGAGAGATCAACAAACAGTTGGATAATTCCTTGGCTTAATGTCATAGCATATTTTGATTGCAGTACTTCTTGCAATGGCAAAGTGAATCACTCAATAGCTCGATTGAAAAGGCCATACTAGAAGCAGAGAAAAAGGGTGCTAAAGTATTAAGCCTAGGACTCTTGAATCAAGTAATATTTCAAATTCCAGTTCGGTTAGAATGCAATACCATCCATTGTATTTAGGAAATTTAAAAAAAAAATATATATATATTGTTTTTAAGTTTAAATAAATCAAATTTTCAGGGTCAGGAGCTGAACATGTATGGTGAGCTATTTGTCCAAAGGCATCCTCAGCTCAAAATAAAAGTGGTAGATGGAAGTAGCCTTGCTGTTGCAGTTTTGATCAATGCCATACCTAAACAAACAACCCAAGTGGTGCTTAGAGGCACTCTCACTAAGGTCGCGTATGTTATTGCTCTCACTCTTTGTCAACGGGGTATATAGGTATATATTACTCAAACGACACGATATGTTCATCTAATTCAAAATTTTCTATAAAAACAAAAATTGTATATTATGACACGAATGAATTTGTGTTTTAGGTGGTAACTTTATGAGACGATGAGCATGAGAAGCTAAAGAAATCATTTGGTAAAGTCCAATACGAATCTAACTTGATCCTTTCAAGAAGTTACTCTCAAAAGGTGATCAAATCAATCTATGAATTTTGATTTCTTTATAGCCTCAACTATCATTAATTTATTATCAATAAAGTGTTGGTTTTTTCTATAACTTTTATAGATATGGTTAGTGGGAGATGGATTGTCTAAAGGAGAACAAATGAAGGCAAAAAAAGGAACAATATTCATTCCATTCTCACAATTCCCACCAAAGAAAATAAGAAAAGATTGCTTCTATCACTTGACACCAGCAATGGAAACTCCTTTGGCTCTTGAGAATGTTGACTCCTGTGAGGTTAGAGGTTTAAATCAAACAAATTTAGTTTAAGTTTTCTTAATTATTTATTTTACTAATTTAAAGTTTACATTAAAAATGGAATAGAATTGGTTGCCAAGAAGGGTGATGAGTGCATGGCGAATTGGAGGGATAGTGCATGGCTTAGAAGGATGGAAAGAGCATGAATGTGGAAACTCCATCTCCAATATTCAAAAGTTTGGGAAGCAACTCTTCAACATGGGTTTCGACCTCTAAGTCTCCCAAATCAATCAAAATTCTAGCTTCGTTTCAGAGTTATTATCACCTATCGACCTCTCTCACGAGTTCTTTAATATCTATTTATAATATATAAATTAGAATGCTGTACTACTTAAAAAAAAAAAAAACTGCGGAGAGTTGTGTACAAATAAAATAATGTCCTTTTTTACAATTTAACGAAATAAAAAAGAACTACGGTTTGAACTATATACTGCAAGTCTATCTATATTGATTTTATCTTTTGAAGCTTCCCGAAATCAAAGGATATGATTAAAAGTCTCGTGTCCTTTTTATGAATCGATAATTATGTGGCTTCATATATAAATTTTACATCATACTTATTCATGATTATTTTTCATGTTTAAAACGTATGAACCAGTTAATTATAACTAAAAATGTTTTAAATAATATAAACAAATATTCTATGCAACTAATATAGAATTATATTAAATAAATATATTAATGTAATATGCCACATCCCAACAAATTAATACAAGAAAAGTAATTGTATCGTTTTAAGTCACTCCTTTATTTCATAATATTGTTCTTTACAAATATTTGAATTCCTATTTAATCATAATTATAAGTTGAAATTCATTCATTTTTTTCATAATAAAAATTAAATTATTATTCTCTTTAATTTATATCATTTTTTTTTCTGAAACTCCCGAAACAATCATTATTATGAATGATTATTGTATTAACTCGTTTATTCTTTTCCAAATAATAAATAAATTATTTATATGTAATAAATGCACAATATAAGAGTGATATTACATCATTTAATATTCGAATTTGTATACAAAATTTACATATGTAAGGCCATACCTTATGTAGCATCCTTATCCTCATCCATCCTCAATTCAAGCGATTTTTCTATGGTTCCTAGATCAACCCTTTGATCATGATTCAAGATATGAAACCCCAAAAAAGTTATTGATTAGATAAGTTAATCGTTCTCCCTAAATAAATTAATAAATCGGTTTTTTATAACTTCAAAAAAAAAATGCTTATTAGAGTAATTATTAAATTAAATACTTATTTTATATGTGTTTTTGTTTTATAATATTGCAATTATGGTATAATTGTGATGTTATTGACCTTTATATATACATATCTCTCATCGGAAAAACCATAAATTGGGGCTAGAAAATAATTAATATGCTTAGTTGTACTGAACAATCTTTTTAAATTGATTGTAGTTATATTTTTTTTCCTACAGTAAAAATTGTATTTATGATGTTGAAAGTAAAATTCAATAAAATATTCTTAAATTAGAATGTTGAAAGTTGCACTTATATTTGTACTGATGTCAATGAAAATTGGAGTTTTGGTGCTTGTGCTTCCATTCAATATATATATATATTCAAAATAATTTGGTTGTTCAAATTTAAAATAAAAAAGAATTTTATATATGTATAACTTGAAGGTACATTAAGAATATCATGTTTAACATATTTTACTTTAAGCCCTGTTAGAATAGAAGGGCTAAACTGTCCAATTGTCAAAAGATGTGGGCCTCGTTGTAATATTATTGAAACGATGTCGTTTCAGTAATACTCCTCACTTCAGCTTAATCGAGTTACTCTCTTCAGCAAACACTTTCTTCATAAGTTATATCTTTCTCATTTTCACTTTACTCTCTTGTAAGCTCACTATATAAAAGGGGCTTTTGATTGTAAAACAAATTGATCAATGAAATATACAGATTCAATTTTATTAGTTTTCTTTCGATTGTTCTCTCTAAGATTTACATGGTATCAGAGACATGCTAATTACAAGTATTATTAAAACAGTGAGAAGACAAGTCATTTTTTACTACATTATTACAATGTGAAACACAATTATTCAGACTAAAGTTTTGACTATGAGATTGTGAGGATTGTGCAGAACAAACAGGTTTGGTGTGGCGAATATTCAGCTGATATAAGCCTTCTTTAAGATCCCCTTGCAGTAACATTTCCCTGGTTGTTTGATCCTTAACAATGCAATAGTTAACATTAAATTCAACAATTACATTATTGTCTTTTGTAAATTTTGAAATGCTAAGTAAGTTTTTGGTAATTTTAGGTACACATAATATGTTTTTGAGATGTAAACATTTAGAATGGAAATGGCTGGGTAATAGAGTGTTACCAGTATGCTAGCTGTCAAGGTGTTCACCATTGCCCACTTGAAGTTGATTTCGGCCACAATAATCCTTGCTGACTTGTAGATGACTCAAATCTGAAGCTACATGATCAGTAGCTCCAGAATCCATGTACTATATGGGGTCAATAGGTGTGAAACGTGTAGCAGTGGCTATTTGAGAACTGTGCAAGTTTGGATCATAGTGTGTAGCAGGAGCATAACTTGAGGCTGCTAGAAATGCCTGATTAGTGCTTGTTGGTTGTTGACTTGGCAAACCAAAAACACCAGAAGAACCAGCAGTTTTTTCAGACCTAGAAGATACAGGAATGTTGCCTGAACTTGGAGGTACATTTGCGTAGCCAACAACTCTAAAGGAAGGGCCAAACTGAGATGGTTGTTGCTTGGAATCAGGACCAAGAACGATCTGATGAGTGTTAAAGTTTTGAAACTGCTGAGAATGTGAAGGTGAACCAGGAAACCCACCAACAAATTGTGAGGACCCATAGTACAAAGCTCCATTATAGGCAGCATTAAACCTATGATAACACTGCACAACTGAATGCCCTATCTTGTTACATACTTGACAGATAAGTTTGTTCCTGTTAGCACCACGACCTCTGCCTCTACCATATGACACATAACCAGGAGGTCTAGGAGTGAAAATCTGATTACCAGGTTGTTGAAAAACTGGATTATGTGAACTAATTGGATAGGTGTCAAATGGTGTTGTATAGGTCTGATGATGGTGTGGATTACCAAAGGAATAGAGGGAAGGTACATTGTTGTTGAACAAGGGTGAGGTTAGGGACCTGTCTATTATTTGGTTTTGTGAGAAGTTTGAATTGTTTCCAGACACATTATTTGTAACAGCCAGATGAGTAGAATTGTTATATAAGTCAATAGAGTTGAACTTCTCCAATCGGATTTCATACTTCCGAAGCAGAAACTGTGCTTCTTGAAACGTGACTGAATCAATCTTTGACTCCAACCTAGAAGTAAGGGTTACTACTACAAGGTCATATTTTAGTCCTAAACCATCAAGGACATATTGTAGTAAATCCTCATCTGAGATGATTAAGCCACTAGTTTACAGACTCTCACTTATCTCCTTCATTTTCTTAATGTAATCTCCAATGCTTAGATTACATTTTTGTGTTGTTTGCAACAAATTCTTAAGATGCAAAGCACGAGCTTTGGAATCATTCACAAATTCATTCTCTAAAACTTTCCAAATCTCAGTTGAGTATCTACATTTTGACACATTACCAAACATACTCTCTGATACAGAAGCTAGTAGCCAATGACTAAAAACTTATCTGTACGTTTCCACATAACATAGTCTGGATTGATTCTGTCAGATCTAACCCTAACATCTTCCTTGAGCTCACTTAGGTCATTATCAATTGATGATTATGCAAGAATTAAAGGTGGAAGGCAAGAGATATTACCGAGTAAGTGATCTTCGAGCTCATGAGAGCCAATAGCAAACAAGACCTGTGAGCTCCAAAATCGGTAGTTGTCGCGCGTGAGTTTGGGGCTAATTACTTGTAAACTGGAAGCAAGTGTAGAGTTGGAACGATTAAGTGACTCTCTAAGCATTTGCTCAATGCGATTAGGCAAGATTGAGGAGGAGGAACCATGGTATTGAGCTGTAGATTTTTGAGTTAAAAGTACAGATTTGCAGATTTAGTTTTCTGATTTAAGTTGTAGATGCAGCAGGTATTTTTTGTTTTCTGGCAAACAGGAGTAGCACAATTTGTTGGCTTTGTTTTGAGTAGTAGAGCCGTTTGTAGAATTGAGTAGTAGAGGTGCAATTGAAAATGCAGAGCTGAAAATGGTTTGAGTGGCTAATGTTGAAGTTGAAATTTATGTGTGAGCTATTACTATAGTTTTTGCAGATTTGTGTTGAAAGTGAAGTTGAATTACTGTATGAGCATATCAGATTTGTGTTGAAATTTCTATGTGAGCTACTACTGCAGTTTTTGCAATTTTTGTGTTGAAATTTCAGTATGCAAGATTTGAATGGTGTTGTGTGGAAATTTCAGTTACTGTAGTTTGATTTCAGTTTGCAGATATGAATTGTGTTGAGTAGTAAAGTTGTGTTGAAATTACAGCCACTGAAATTGTTGAAGTTTTGTTTGCAAAGTCTATAGAATCCACAAAGAGTCAATCACAACAAAAGAAGCCTAGAATCACAGTCCAGTTTTAAGGGGGAATGTCAATATATGGGCAAAACAAACTGGTAACATACTCAAGGCACACTCAGTCTAGCTCAAGGGGGAATGTTAGAATAAAAAGGACTAAACTGTCCAACTATCAAAAGATGTGGGCCTCTTTGTAATATTACTGAAACGATGTTGTTTCAGTAATACTCCTCACTTCAGTTGAATCGAGTTACTCTCTTCAGCAAACACTTTCTTCATCAGTTATCTCTTTCTCATTTTCACTTTACTCTCTTGTAAGCTCACTGTATAAAAGAGGCTTTTGATTATAAAACAAATTGATCAATGAAATATACAGATTCAATTTTATTAGTTTTCTTTCAATTGTTCTCTCTAAGATTTACAAGCCGCAACTTTTTTTATCAGTAACCTCCATTTTTTAATTTTTAATTTTAGGATTTTTTTTGGGAAAAGAACACAAGTTTTAAAACACATAAAAAAATGACAAAACCGTATAGAGAATGTTAGATTTAACTTTAAAGAAGGATAAAAAGGTAATTCAACAAATCCAAACATTTTATTAAGTATTTATAAATTTAAAAAATATTTTTAAAACTATAAAATCATATTTAGATAAAAATAATTAAATAATTAATAAAATCCACTGTCCATCCTTTTTTTGTATTGTAATTGTCTAAATATTTA